TTTGGCAGATTTGTGCCGAGTTGTCCGCACCTCGCGGGACTTTCGGATAATTTATCACCGTTGATGAACCACACAAAGAATATTTTATCGTTTTTAAACAGCCGGCTACTTGAAATAGACCCGCGAGGAACCGCGATGTGCATGCAGTTGTCGGCAGCACGGCATGCGCGCAAAACTCTGTATAAGACCGGTGAATGGCAGGCGAGAGAGAGAAAAAATGGTCAACAATAAGCCTCAGTTTAGCCTCGGCTCGCAATCGCGTGCACAGAAACACACATGATTTGAATATCAGTCGACTATAGGCAGGACTTGACGATTCTGATCCAACTATGTAAATCCTTAGTCGGGCACAGCCCTAATTGCTACTGTGTAAAGGAAATACTACTGGTAAAAAGCACCTTATTTGTTTAAAGTGTTTGCAAACCACATGTTATTGCACTTTTGTGTATATAGCAGTACATTTAAAATAAAAGTGCACAATACCCTATAGAGAATTCATTATTTAATTTTGCGAGTAACAATTACGATTAATAAAATTTTAATCGTTGCCCAGCACTAGTTTTAAGTTTAGCTAAAGTTCCATAGTCGCTGCCAGTCAATTTTTGACAGAAGCCACGACAATTCAAAAAAAATTCAATTCAAAATAAAACACCCTGTACAGTCTCCCAAACATTAAACACATTTAAAACCGTCAAAAAAAGAACAATTTAACTATGCAGCCGACTTAACCATGGTAGAAGTACAAAATCAGGGTCAGATGCGCTTCATAATTAAACTAGATTTTAATCACGTCTTCACGATTAGCTAATCACGTTCTTTCAAATCGCAATTTCGATTTGAAAACAATTAATCGTTCAGCCCTAGATGTAGGTATGCACATCTACATTTCATACGATTACGATTTTTACACATGGCTGGGATTCCATTGGGAGTGGGGTTTAAAATTTTTAGCTAATTTGTTTTGTTTATTTGGCTAGCAAAAAAAGAAAATCGTATTAAACTATAATGATAAATGGTTATGTTGCATAACCATGGACTAAATGTACTGTACTTTAAATAGACATCATCTACTCAAAACCTCAATAGTCTACATGACAAAGCTGAACTGACTGCTACCACTCAATTTGCCCTAAAATCAGCCACAGTGCACCTATAGGCATAAAGATCCAATCAGGCCTGTAGGTAGGGGTCTGTGTCCAATCAGCCATGAGGACTTGTTTCTCCCATTTGGCGTGGTCACGCACCAATGCCCATTACAACACCTCTGGGCTCCCTCTGTTCTTCTGGCAGCCGGCCCTCCAACCGGCTGGAATAATATTGTGTAATTGTTATTGACATATTGTGACTGGAAGAGGATAAGCAAGAACATTCTCTCCTACTCCCCAGTAAAATTAACAGCTTGTGACACGCTGGTGGACTCCAGAAGGAGTCAAGCTGACAGCTCCAGCCATGAGAGTTCAACATCGGGGGACTTACAAATGATCAGAATTCTTTCCAAATGTAATTTGATGCTCTCTATCTCTGATCAATATCACAACTGTCACATTATTGTCTACAGTATCTGACAAATGATCACAAGAATTACCACTTCATAAAATTGTACCTGTTCTCTGACAGCGACTAGGTGATAGAATAGCAGATAGTACAGCACTAATACAATTAACAGCCTGTATCAATGACTAATCCTTAAAGCTGCACTATGTTTTATTTCAACAATAGGTCAAATGTACAAAGAATCCATCCATCGTCAACTGCTTATCCTGTGTACAGGGTCACGGGGGGCTGGAGCCAATCCCAGCTGACAGTCCATTGCAGGGCACACATACACAAACAGCCACTCACGCCCACATTCACACCCACGGACAATTTAGAGCCACCAAGTTAACCTAGTCCGCATGTCTTCGGATGGTGGGAGGAAGCCGGAGCACCCACGCAGACACAGGGAGAACATGCCAACTCTACACAGAAAGGCCTGGAACGACCAATGTTCAAACCCACGACCTTCTTGTTGTGAGGCGACAGTGCTAACCACCGTGCTGCCCATGTACAAAGAATGTACGATGTAAAAATTAGTCTTTCATCGTGGCATTTCAATTTTTGGTATGTATCCTCTTTCCAGCACCTGAAAATAATTTTGGATGCCTCCACTCTTGCCATGTCTTCACTGTTGACTGTTGAAGTTCTTTAAAACTTTTACAGTGTTTAATAACAAATAATAATGAGATTGGGTATTTCATTATAATTTGTTGTGATGGTGTAGCATGGCTAAATTAGTTATGAATTTTAATAAATTTATGAGAATTAATACCCAATTATGAATTTTAATATTCATAAAATCAGAAAATTATTCCTCGTTTCAGGGCACCACCGGAGTTGTTATAATCCTAGAGTCTCTGGACCTCTAGGTAGCTTTTAATAATTATACAATTATTACTAGTGATCAGTTATATCTAAAGGGTCAATTCTCTTGGCAGGGGCGTGGAAATAGGCAACACACACAGTTCTTGATTATATTACAGTGAATTTATTCTCTAACTAATGCGATATAAAAGGGTGGTTAAATACAGGGAAAATAAACAATGGCTGAACAATGAGAAATGGAGGTTCGATTGTGGGAAGCATTTGACTCATACGGTATAGGAGAACTAATGAAAGTAAGCTATGAGTTTAGGAGTTAAAAGGAAATATTAACATTACCGGACATCTGACCACAGAATGTTTGTTAGGTCTTAGGGCTTGTCGGCCTGCTTTGGCCTGTTGCACGGGTCCCACGCTAGCTGCCCGATCCCGGCTTTTTGCTAGGGGATTCTCCGGGGTTCTCCGTGTCTGAAGACAACGCCGTCCTCCGTATGGCAATTCAGCTGTTTTCCGGTTTACTTCGTTGCCGCTGGCGAGACCACGTGGCTTGGTCTGACCTCGGTGAAGTTGGCTCGATGAAAAAGCTTAAAAATGGAACTTGGTCATTCCTGAATTAGTCCAGTGTAACTTAACGGACTGATAACTTTAACAAAACAAAAGAAAGAAAGAAAATAAAACAAACTGAAGGCAGATCGATGTCGCGGCACTTCGCGTGTGTAGCTTCAAGCAAACAAAGGCCTGTTGCGCTGGTTGACTCTTAGGCGTTGCCTGGTGAGGCACGCTGGACGCGTGCCAAAGCGTGCGGAGAGTAGAGCGGAAGGCCAGGGCACGAGGGGAGGAGAAGAGCAGAGAGCAGAGAGAGAGAAGAGCGCGAACAACGTCGCGTGTCGCTCTTTTGTTGCCTGGGGCGTGGTTCCCCAGAGGGCGTTTCAGGTTTCCCGGGGATCTGCCTTTCTAAACTTAATGTCTAAAAGAAAAGAAATCTATTTGCACGTATTATAATCAAATATTTTCCACAATCGAACAATCGAATGGTCAAACAGTTGTACCGTTCTAAGTTAAGCATTTGGTAACAGGAAAACAATTGTTACATTATTGGTCAGGATATTTATACATTTAACGGCATTTCCAACGATGGTATGTAATACTTATTTCGTCCACTTGGGGGAGCTCAGGTTACATGAGGAAAGCTTAGATTAACCCAAGACCATCTCTCCTTAGGAACCGGGGAATTCAGTTATTCAGCCTTATATTCAAGCTGGCGATTAAGAGGATAGTATGACATTTCTTTATCATCATTTCTAAAGAAACTGTGTGAGAAAGTATTGTGAACACGTATTGGTTACACATTAAATGAAAGGGGTGTCCTTAATCTTCTAAAATCTAAAACACTGCAAAAGTAACTTATTTAGATTCTTTTCAGCACTAATATCAACAACAGATAGCAACAACATGTTAACATAACTACTCAAATAGAGGCAAACGTAATCAAGTAACAAGATTTAATTAAACTTAATTAAATGCTTTGAGTCTTTGGAGACTGCAGTCTTTGTTTATTTAAAGTTCGGCTTCCTGGGTTATGTCACACTTAGGTGAGACAAGGAGTATCCCTTTGATGGGGTAATGAAACACAGAGTAAGGTCAGTTGCCACGGTTACGTGTGTGTGGGGGGGGGGGGCAGTTTTGATAGGCTGTTCAGGGAAATGCTAATCGCTGGTTAGTGTCCCTTCTGTCAGTTTAACAGTCAGGCACTGCGTTATCAGCTTCGGAATCAAAAAGGCGCCAGTTTTACGATCAACTGCCCAGACATAGCACTTAAAGAAAGCAACTTTCCACCCCTTCTTCCGTTGGGGTCTCTTTTAGCAGTCTGTTGAAGTTAATCTTTAACCCACCTGCTCCTTTCTGGGAGAGGAAAAGAGGAATTTGGAGTAGCTCCAAATTTATTTAATATAAAATGCACAAATCCACACCGTAGTCCCACTACAATGGTAGAGGTCAGGGTCAGTAAAGGAATACCACGCACAGAGACAGTAGAATGTCAGGATCATGCTCAAGCATACTTGCTTCAGATTTAGTCTGCCTGCTGACAAGGTAACCATGAAGACCACTAGGTCGCCCTCCTATCCACTGAAGTACATTATACCGCAGATGACAAGCCCTGGGGTCAATTACAGTGTATCATAACTGAACACCTTGCCATGGCTGTTCCCTCAGTCACTCTCCATAAGTCTGCGTGTGACACAGGGCCATCAGCAGCAGGACACAACAGAGGCAGCTGTCCTGGACACTGTGGTCATGGGGACCAAAGAAGTGGATAAGGAGCCAACATTAGACTGTCAATTTTTCATTAGATCAACACTTTTATAAGACACAAAAGGGACTTATTGCCAATGCATAAACTTTTTGGCACTCCCTCTAAATGTTTAAACCTGTAAGTTTTCACAGTGCAGTCTAACACTACATGCACAAGAGTAGTGTTTTGACCAAATTCTATGACATGCTTCACGTCAATAAACAATAAAAAAAAAATGTTTTAAAGCACAACTATGATTTCAAATGTATGATGTGTTGATTGGTTATATATTGAAAATATATTGCATAGGAGTCAGAATATAAACAAAGACTTCTGCAGTGCTCCGTACCTTTCATCTCTCCCATGTCCAGGGTCTTGCCCAGCTGCTCCAGCAGGTCTGCTCTGGCAGCGTTCTTCTTGTGCTTTTTGCCATCATAATGTTGCTGAGCCATGCCGGGGTTGTTGAACCAGGCATTGCATAGCTGGCAGTAGCGGTCCGAGTCGCGGCGCTGACGTGGGGAGGTCATTGGAGACGTTTCTGGGGAGCTCTTTACAGGACTGGGGGACGCCTCTGGAGGAATAACAACAAAACACAAAACTGTGGTTCCGTAGGGTTTTTACTGGTTTAAAAGGAGACAAATGTGCCTCTGTGACTTATTATTATATATTTTTTTAAATGGCAAATAAATGTAAACGTGTGAGATCCTACACAGATTTGCAAAGCCCCAAGTATGCCTATAAACACGCTTGCTTTGACTTAGATAATCTTATAAGTGTTTTAAATTTTATTCTTCATTATGAAACTCCATGTCCTTGGCTTATTTTCTGTGAAGAACATGTAACACAACGTATTTTACACACAACAAATGTGTTTCCTTGATCTGGTGTTGGACCGCTTTAATTGACTCGAGATGTGCAAGGCCCCGACTCTGACTGTAAGAAGCACTTACTGTGATTTAGATCATCATGTAAATCTAAAATTGAAAAATATGATTTGGTGTTTAAACATGTACTCATTTAAATAATAAAACAGCTCTATTTTTCTAGATATGGAAATGTTGGAAAGTACTTACAATTCCAAAGAATCTTGCACTTATACAATAAAAAAAAAAAAATTACCTTTATAAAACTAATGATGCCATTTTGTTTTACCCTGATTCTATGTTCCCTTGGAAGACTCTAATGGTGTTGTACTGGATTGCATTGTGGTGACAGGTATTCGTCCAAACAATAAACAATGCTAAATCACTACAATATTACAAAATGCACTGTTGCAAGTTCTCTCTCTTCAAAGCCTTGACAAATCTATAGGGATGTCCGAGTCCTTCAATATTAAGTATCTGCCGATACAGAGTCCGATACTTTGTTGTGTAAATGTTGATTGAATATGTACCTGACACACTGAAATAACTGCTGTAGATACTGAATCTGACACACCATTCAAAACAAGGTCAAAGGTCAAGTTTATTTAAACAAAACAGATTTGTGCCAAAATGTTTTAATTGAGCAAAAACATTAGGACAAAAACTAGGACAAGTTGATGCTTAAATGATTGATATGATATGAATGGAAGATTAACAGGGGGAATGTGACTCTTCTACAAAAATCAACAAATCTACAAAATCACTCACAGTTGTAGAGTGGAGTTAGACAGCGGAGCTTCTCCCTACACCAAACCCGACAACAAAGTACAATTTTGGCCTACCAAATCAAGTGACTCATGGAATTAATGTTAATTAGTGGCAGCTGGTATGATCTGCTGCTACCAGCATTTTAACAGGTGAAAGTGAGAGTCAGCTCTGGCAAAAAATGCAAAGGTAATACCTGAATGTTTTCTACTCAGCTCATTACTAAAAAGAGGAGAGATTGCAGATCGTTCATCTTTACTGTTGGGTTGCAAATTTTGCCAACCTGGATGTCAGAACACAGTTGATCCTTGCTGCACCCAAATAATTTTTCACATTCACACACTCATTGACATTTCCACTCCCATATGCAGTGAAATGCAGCATTGGAGAGCCCGACTTTCAGTAAGGACAGCAGCACTGCAACACCAGCAGGCTGAGATGAACAAAACAGTTCAGTTAAGAAAGGTTCAGATTTTGATTTCCTGAACGTTCTGATCATTAAAATATTCCAAGATCGGCCCTCCATACTGATCCTAGGATCGAACAATCGTGTTTTATTTTCGACTACTGCTAATCAGCTAGCATTTCATCCTGCAGCAGTGTGCATTCTTTTGACCTTGCACCATACTGAAGTAATTTCACTCTAGAATTGCAGCTGTTATCCAATTATTGTTATTTAGGCCAAAATTGTCAGGTTTTGACAAAGGAAATGGAGGAGGTGGCCACATTGTAAAATGTTTAAGAATAAAATAGCTTTGCTACATACTACATACATTAAAAAGAAATTGTTATAATTTATGCTTATGTACATTTTTAGATTTTTGAATGCAGACTACTAGCGGCATGTCAACACACCCTAAAAACACAAGTCAGCTTTTAAAAGTGGAGATTTGTAGCCAGCAGAACGAGCACAAAGTAAAGGCTGTAATTGGCACTGATCAGCAGCAACAATGACTGTGCAGCCCTCTGAATAACAAGCTGTTATCTCCATTTACTGCTTGAAGAGGAAAACCTAAATTCTACTTGGCAAATGGAATAAAGAGCCTGCTCTCCTCATGGCTGCTCACTTGTGCCTTCATGCATGAATGACAGCATTAACCCCGAACGAGCGCCGCGTTGCACTGAGCACTCCCCAACAGAAAATGGCACTATCAACTTAATCAGTTTTAACACTCGAGTGCTCGGCCCACCCTCAGTCAACATTTAGTGTTGTCCCATTACGTTCCATTACACCAGTCAACATTTCAAAGTGGCAACTCCAGTGAAACACATAGGGGAGAGAAGATGTATAGAACCTTAACTGTCAGCGTTTTGTTCTATGTTTATTCTGTGAGTACGGCCTTCAGTGAGTCAGAGCTGAGTCACAGGCAGAGCAGAGTGTACATTTGCATGAAATTTTACATTCAATACTTGGCTGAGGCGTTCATCCACAGCAACTGGCTATTATGTATAAAGGATTTGAATCTAATCTAATCTACTTTGTCGTTATAGAGTGATCTCTCCAACTGATAGGCCAATGTAAACTGTCAGATTTAATTTCATCCCTTTGCAAGGAGGTCAGAGGTTGGCTACAGAGGCAGAAACCCAGGAGTTGTTTTGGTTTCAATGCACTGCTCATTGTAAAATAGCTTTTAGAGAGAGGGCAGCCCATCTACCATATACCTCAACAACTGAATTCAAAGACTCAACCACCCCGTTCTATAGCCAGGGAGCCCCACATAGAGTAGAATACCCACCTGCTCTTTCCCTAGTCAGTAAGAAAACTACTTTTGGTAGCTTGACAAAGAGAATAGAGAACTAAAGTGCAATTCTCCATCAAAGCGGTTTAGACACCTCTGGTATATGAGACATAACCTGAAAGCACAGCTCTTGGTTTCAACAATAACATTTGGGCAATTACCTACCAGAGCAGTAAGAAGGATGTCAGAATGTGAAAGAGAGAAGTTAAAGGCTGTGGGAATCTCAAAGAAATATAGATATGATATAAAATATTTACTGTTTATGAAGTTGACAAAGAACAAAAGGGAGGCAACAACCGATTTCAGAACAACAACTTCATTCATTCACAGTGTTTTATCACTATTATCACTATTATTATTGTTGTTGATGTTGTCCTAGCTTTAGTAGAAGAGGTAGCTAATTGCTAATAATACCACTACAAATAATTAAATGTGTATTGACTTTATTTCACAAATCACCATTTAAGGAATGCAGCTAACTACAGAGCTTGAGGAGATTAAACGGGACATAATGGGCAGAAACACAGTGACAGCTGAGGGAAAATACTTTTTTGCCTGTCCTACTTTACATAACATTTCAACATGAGATCAGCTTAATTAAAGTGTGGTGATAAAAGCTTGTTCTTATACAACTAGGGTTACCATATCGTAACCTTTCGTTCTAACTCACACAGGCTCCGCCCTCTACTGGACTCTATGGGGACAGTGGGTGGAGCCTGATGGCTGTCCGCCCTAGCCGCGACAAGCCAAAGTCCACCACACCAACCTGGTCACAAGGCCGGCCAAAGCCCTGACCACGACATCACCTAGTGACAGAATGGTGGGACACCCCTGAGAAGGTCGCTGGACCGATAGGGGCTTGGCCTGACCATTAACACCTGGACTGCCCTGACTTCTCAATGAAACATCAGGCACTGCCAGTGCATGTTCCCCCTCTACACCCAGTAGTCACCAGATCCTCACTTTTCAGATTCTAGGTTGCACTTTGCGAGCTGGATCCCGAGAAGGAGCCCAACATATCCAAGAGATAGAAACACACAAACTGGCACAGTAAGGGCCAAGATGCCATTGTGCAGATCTCTTCGACACACACCACGCTGAAAAAGGGTCGTAGACACTTCAACACTTCTGAGTGGAATGTGCACGCACTGCTAAGGGTGGGTCTGTTCCCGCCCGTGTACAGGCTTGGGAGATGGCCAGGCTCTTCTTGGACAGGGTCTTGCCGACTGCACTATCACTGAAGCAGAATTCAGTGAGCAGTTCGCCGTTTGCTGAAGAAATGCTGAGGCAGTAGGGACACCGCTATTTATACGTCACGCATGTATTCGAAGCGACATCCTATTGGTCGGCTACGTGCATAACAAATATTTCAGTGTGCAACTGTGTGCGTGCGATTGGAGGAGGTAGTACTCAGAGTCCAGTAGAGGGCGTAGCCTGTGTGAGATAGAACAGTTTTTGCAAATTGTAAAATGTGCATTTGTAGAAATTGTAATTGGTAAAACAGTGGCATCATAATTCTGACAAAAATGCAAAAAAATTCTATAAATAGAATATCATGCAGACAAATCATTTATCATTCATTTAAATTCTGTTTTTCAAGTACAACTCACTGATTTCTATTTGTGGATAATGATGTGTTTAGAAATTGTAATATATATTTGTGACTCATAGTCTGTGCATTTACAATGATAATGACATCAATTTACCCCTATACGCTTGAACATATCTGCAACATTGCAAATGTTCACACTGAAGGACACAAACATGACTCTGAATGAATGATAATGTTTCTCGGTAACTGCTGGATGTGTTAATAAGCAACTGTTTGCTATCAACTTAAAAGGTGATCCGTCAGTGTTGTGTTCTCAACTTGTTTCCGCTGATCTGCAAGTGGCCAAAAAAAAGTAGGTATTGCAGGAAAAATTTTTCATCTTTGTTAATTATTCAAAAAGTCAAGAGTGAGATGAAATGTTTACGTTTGCGATACTTTGGCCACTTGGGGGCAGTGGAACAAGCTGAAAATACCAATGCCTTTTTAGCTATTCAGGAGAAACGGAGGAACATGAGCATTCATTTGGTGTTTTGTTTCTGGTCCAATATGAACTCTCTTTTTTTGTCTCCATCAACTGCTGTGGGGAATCTCTATTATCTCTCTTAGGGTACTAAATTCTCATCTCAGTGTATAAGTCTCAATGTTAAACAGCTAGTTGCTAACTTTGTCTATCGACTGTGCTGTGCAGGTAGTGTACAGGCTGATGAAACGGGTGAAACTGAATTAAAATAGTAATGTTGTGGGCCAGAAAACCAAAACACTGAGCTGAAAGAGGCTGAAATGCTCTGCTGGGCTAAGGGTAACTGCAGAGTTTGGTGATAATTATCTCTAGGTTTGTCACCACAAGCAACCCCTTTCACATTACACTTTTGTTTGTTAATATTAATATATCCTCTTGTGCAGCACTAACCAAAGTATCTCTGTAACCTAAACCTAACCACACAAGGGATGCATGCTTTGTACATCCACCGTAGATCCTGGTACAAACACATAGCACTTTGTAGCCTGAAATAAATCCTGCAGAAAATAAGTGTGAGGGAAATTTACACTATTACAGGATTTAGTGGTCAAATATCTTGTATTAAAGATGCCCAAACATTGAGATTAAATAGGAAATGAGAAGCAAAGTCTAACAAATAATTTTCTTAAAAACAATATTTTTCTGCAAATACTCAGCAATTAAAGGGGTTTGATTATCTAGGCAGAGATCATTTATCAGCATCAGGCCCACCTCTCTGTCCAGTATACTCCTCCAGCTAAATGTCATGACTATGATTTCATATTCTTACTGCTTTTACGTTAGACTGTCCCGGTCATTTGTCTTGCAGCCCACCAGATTTACCTAAAGTATTTACGTTCAATATAAGATGGCAGGCTCCTCATTCATAACAGGCTGTGCTATTGCCGGCTTGCTTTCCAGACTCATAGATAACCCAGCAGGCACATAAAGGAATGAAACCCTTTCCTCCCATTTAGTGCATCATTAGAGCCATACTGTTTAACACCCCTCTGTGCTTTGACTGAGGGTTCAGCTCAATTTAGAGGGCGTGGCTCATAGCCATCGCCAAGAGGCAGATGGTGTCGACTCGGTGTGGCACCTGCTGCTTAAAGGACACTTTAAACTCTGTGAAAAGGCCCTTGCTTCTCTATTTTAGAGGTTTAGGCATCAGCAAGATAAAATGTGCCTTATTTGAGCTTAGGACACACAGTGCTAAGCACAGAGAACACTCTAAAAACCACTGTGAGAGAATTGCAGCTTTTTCCTGAAGCTGTAC